TATTTTAATATTTGTATGCTGATGACTTTCACCACTTCTACATCACATTTGGTTAAAATATTAAAGGTATCAAGTGCAAAATCACCATTTTTTTCACACAATAATTTTTTTTAACAGAATACATTTTAGCTCATAGATCACAAATAAATTTTAACAAATTCTGTAGTACTTAAAACCTATTTACATAATTGCGTTTGATTCATTGTGTAGGTACTCTGGTATTTCCTATAATACCAACAAATGATAGCCATGTTGATAAAACATTCTTAGAAACGAGGGCGGACTCGATTTGACCTTTATTAAGGATTAAAATTTTAGGTAATTTTCTTAAAATATTATGATTCATCTGACCGTGACCGTTTTAAAAATCCTAGAAAATGTATTTTAAGCGAAAGTAGTATACGCTACTGAGCTTTAATAGTAGCCAGTAAGATCGTTTGAAGGTGTGTCAGCAGTGCCCAAACTTTACCCTACTACTGACAAATTAGGATACGATGCATGTTCCATTATATACCTCTACCATATTTAGGGCCGATTCCACCGTTGTGTTAAACGGAGATTAAAATGACATTGTTAATGTAAAAATGGCATTTTAAACTTCGTTTAACACAACGGTGGAATCGGTCCAAAGAAGGTGGATTTATAAACTGCGTTCAGTTGGCGCTCAGTTCGAGTTGACTCCTGTAGCCATGTTCCTGGTCTTCATTAAGACAAGATCTAGAAAAATCATTACACTTACTCTTGAGTCCCCTACAGTTCTGAAAATAGATATGTAGAGAGTGTATCATAAACAATATTCACTTTGTAAGCTCATATTCATTACCAAAGATTAAACAAAATAGTGGTATCTTAAATTAACTAAGTATCATTATTACAGTTAAATTTACCAGTTTACTATAAAAAAATTCCTTTAAAACAGATAAAAATAGAACTTAGTCATAAATCATAAACAATGACTAAAACAAAAAGAAACCTAATAGTTCAATTTTCAAAGTGTATTGGTAAAATCCCAAGTATCCCACTAAAATATTTCTAAATTTTATTGGGTATTTTTCAAATCTAAGCAGAATTATGATTAAAAAATATTCGAGAAATTTATTTGTCAAAGTAGATTTACTATGAATATCTGTAATTGTGTAGTACATCTATTTTTAAGTAGATGTCATACTACATAAAAACAATGTTACCATTATGTTTCAGAGATAGTTTTAGTAGGTGAATGTAAAAATTATCATTGGGCTGAAGGACTTCGGACGATTGCCTGTTGAGTATTGTAACTAACTAAAGAACGATTATTATTAAATAAATAAGGCCGTTCCGCCAAAACCGGACTATTAGAAGTTTCTCCCAAATCTTCATTTTTAGGCAATGTAAGTTACAACTAATTGTTATGTTTATTATCAGTGTTGTCAATATAGCAATCAGTGGTTTGAGCACTCTGCTTACAGCATGGTACTCAAACTTCATCTTGTTATTGTAAAAATTACTATTTAGCTTGTATATTTTGCTTTGATGGATACCATCAGGCCACATTCTTTAATAGGACTGATAAGGAGCATGGTGGTGTCTTGATACTTGTAAAAAAATCTTTGTTGTATGATATACCGCGATTTATTAGTGACAAAAGTGAAGAGTTAAATTTTGAATGTTGTTCAATTACGTTTAGTTTAAATGGACTTGGGTATTGTTTGTTAACTATTTATCGGGCCCCAAAGGGTAATCTTGATACGTTTTTTAATAAGATGTATATGCTTCTTAATTATTGTTATAGTCATTTCAAATGTATCATCATTTGTGGAGATTTCAATATTGATTTTTTAAAAGATTCACGAGAAAAAGTTTTATTAGTTGATTTGATGGAGTGTTTTAACTTGCGTTGTTTAAATAGAGAACCAACTAGAATTTGTACTGACAAAAACGGTAAAACGTCGCGTACTAAAATCGATTATTTTCTCACAAACTACCTTTCTACATATACGGAAACCGTGGTAGACCTCTGTATTGGAGATCACCTAGCAATTGACGTATCATTAAATTATATAAAGGAAAAATGTTATGTAACTGATATCAATGAAAAAATACATTTTAGAGACTTATCAGAGGCGAATTTACTTAATCTGCAGCAAAAAATAAGTTCTGAAAATTTTGATTCTGTGTATGAATATTTTGATAACATAAATCTTGCCTATGAAACATTCTTAAATATTCTAAATTACTATATAGAAGTAAATTGTCCGGTTGTCACAAGAGCTGTAAAGACAAATAAAAAAAATAACTGGATAACTCCAGATATTTTGAGGATGGGAGCTGATATAAGGAATTTATTTTGGTTAGTAAAAAATTCTAATGATGTGAATATACATATTAGATACAAAGAAGCAAAGAGACAATATGTCAATAATATAAATGGAGCAAAAAAATCTCATTTTCAAAAGGGATTGCAAAATAAAACTTTTCAGCAAAAACAAAAATATATATGGAAACAGGTAAATCACCAAGATGGTAAAACATCAAAAGGTTCTCAAATTAAACAAATTGAAGTAGGAGGACTGTCAATTATTGAACCAAAACAAATAGCTAAAGTTTTTGCAGAGCATTTTGCCACCTCCACAAAAAAAGCACTACAGTCTCATTTCAATGATTTGAATTTTAAAAATTTTACTGCGTCATGTGTCTCTCAGACCTTTTACTTCTCTCCTGTTGATCATCGTGATGTAATTGAAGTTATTCACTCATTAAAAAATGTTAACTCTATGGGCATTGACTGCATTTCCACAAAGATAATAAAACGTATTAGTCATCACATCTCTCCAATTTTAGCAGACTTAATCAATCAGTCTATTCAGCTAGGTATTTTCCCAGATTATCTGAAAGTAGGATATGTAACTCCTATCTTTAAAAAAGGTGATAATAATTTAATTGATAATTATAGACCTATTACAGTGCCTACAATTTTAAGCAAAATCTTTGAAAAGTGTGTCCACAAAAAAATGCTAATATTTCTTAAAAAATATGAAATAATATGCAAAAATCAAAATGGATTCCTTCCAGAAAAATCTACTGAAAGTGCAGCAATAGATCTTTTTAATTTCATACATACTTCTATCGATCAAAAGTTGTTTGTGGGTGCGCTTTTCTTTGATTTGTCAAAGGCGTTTGATTCAATCAACTTAGATGTCGCTATTCAAAAATTGGAAGGGCTTGGTTTTAGAGGTAACTTTTTGTCTTGGTTGTCATCTTATATAAATAACAGACAGATCTATGTCAAAGTCGGAAATTGTAAATCTGAACTAGAAAGTGTTGATATGGGTGTGCCTCAGGGATCAATTTTAGGACCTCTAATTTTTCTATGCTACATAAATGATATGCCTAATCATATTAACTCAGAAAACATAATTTTATATGCAGATGACACAACAATTGCCACCAACGCACAATCAGTAGATGAATTAATTAGTAAATTAAATGTTTTATCTAATGAGTTTACATCATGGTGTTATAGAAATTCTTTAATTGTTAATTCAAACAAAACCGTTTGCCTTCAGTTCTACTCCAGAAATCAAATTATCCAGAATTGTAAAGTAAATGTCAATAATGCAGAAATTATGCTCTCAGATGTTACAACATTTTTGGGCATACATATTGATAGCAATATGGGTTGGGATAGCCAAATATCTAATGTTTGTAAAAAATTAAACAGCGCATACTATGCAATACTAAAATTAAAATCAATATTTACCCAAGAGCAACTGCTTAATGTCTACTATGCTTTAGCATATTCTCATATATCATACAACATTATTCTTTGGGGTGATGCAGTCAATGCATCTAAAGTATTTATCTTACAGAAAAGAATAATCCGGCTTATTTTTAATCTAGAATTAATGCAAACTTGTAAATATAACTTCAAAAAATTTAAAATATTAACATTTCCCTGTATTTACATTTATAAAACGTTGCTATATGCTAAACACAACATACACCAATTTTTACAAAATTCAAATTATCATGAATACTCAACTAGGAATGCAAATTTATTCAGAACACCAAGACATTCAACAGCATTATTTGAGAAATCACCTGAATTTGTTGGAATTAAATTTTTTAATCAACTCCCTGATTTCATTAAATCTGAAAAGAAATATGAACCTTTTAAAAGAAAACTTAAAAACTATTTAGTAGATTCATGTTTTTATAATTTATCTGAATACCACCATATTTTAAGGTAAATATTTTTCTAATTGTATATTTTTAATGTGCATGTCTTAGATATGTATATATATATATATTTTTTTTGTATACTGTACCTATATTTATTTGTATTCTAATATTTTTTATTCATATATATTATGACTTATCCTATATCATGTAACATGATCCTAAAGGACAAATAAACTAATATTATTATTATTATTATAATACTTTATCCAATTTTTGTCAGATCATGTTTTGAAAACAACATACAAAAGTACCCATATTATTGTACAAAATGATGTATCATGGAATCAATACCTTTTATTATGGTGAATTTAGAGAAAATATTTTCTTAAACAGTGTTGAACTCTGTTTGGAGTCATAAAATATATAAGAGCAGAGCCTCTAAGCTTTGACTATACAGTCTTAAAGGGCCATCTTAATATTCACAGAGCTAAGAGGGGCCTAACAATTTAGGAGAAAGCACAATGGGCCTAGTGAGGCCTACGTGCCATGGGGGTAACCCACCCTTTACACATTACAAATACGATAATATTCACATAATCAGGAGAAATTAATGTTCTCCTGGTGTTGTCAAGCAATGGTGCAACTATGTCCAACTGGTTTGAAAACCCCCAAATACCTAACTTTGTAAGTTCTTATCTGGTAGTAAACAAGTCCAAATGAACAAAATGTACAATACTTTTTGAAGCAACAAGTAAGTTAAACATAGATTAAATAAATATTGATTTAAAGGTTAAAATAAATAATAACATAGTGATTTGAATTATTTATTAACAAATATTCTAATGCCTGGCAGGTACCAGTGCAGCCAGATAATTTGAACTAAAATCTATTACTTCATTATTTGGTCTTATTAGAGCATCATGCTGAAGATTATCAAACCATCTGCACAAATTTAAATAATTTTCCTTATCGAGGCCTGAGAGTGATCTCTGAAATAAATTGGTCATATAATAAGTTTAGTAAAGATTAGTAAATATTGGCTTACCATCACTTTCTTTAATGTATAAAAGAGAAGAATATCTGCTATGGTGAGTCTGAATCCTACTAAATATGTTTTTTCTGCTAATATTTCATTGAGTTCCTAGTAAATATAGACTTATTACATTATAATGTGGTTTTAGTGATTTATTTATCAACATTAAATTTCATAGAGTATATACAGAGTGGACACCAAATGTTCATTTGCAAATTCACTTTTACTGTTCCTCCCTAGCAAACATATTTGAAAACTTTCAACATTTCTTCGACTTTGGATTAAATTAAACCAAGGCATTGTTTTTCAGCAAGTGGCCACTCTGAATGACTAGTTTGAGACCTCTGCACTTAGATTGGCGAATTACTTAAAATAGTATCTTGAACTAAACAATAAGCTGTTCATTTTTGTTTCAGTAATAATCAATTTATTTGTATATTGACTGCTTTGTGAATCAGTGGATAATTAATATCACCTACATATTGATATTATTAATTTGTACAAGGCGGTTCAAACTAGATATTTACTAAATAATATGAATATAATGCTTAACTTACTTTCAAAACAATCCTGGCGTTTTGGGGACTATCCACATGTACAACATAAACATTAATGTATTCAATCCATTGTTGTACCTCAAGAATTTCCATTTGATTTTTTGGACCTAAAGATGAATTTGGGGCACTTACTAGTTGAAATACTTTATTGGTTACACCAGAATTTGGTATCTAGGGCATAAATAAAAAAATCTATAAAAATATTGTGATTAGTACGTCTAGAAAACTTACTTTATTAATTTTAGCATCATCTAGTTTGATTTTCAATAATGATGCGATTTGATTTAAGTTTTTCTGAATGTTTACTACCATTTCTAATAAGTAGTTAAAATTAATATATTAAAATTTTAAATATTTTAATAACACAGCACCATTAATATGAACAAATCAAACAGGAGGGAGGTGGGGGACAACGTCACTTGTCACTTCACCACAGAACCAACACGAAAATTGTCCACAGAACACCTATCTAAACTGTCCGTGCTCGTGCTCAGTCCAATTCACAAAACACGTACTCAGAAGGAGAATGTCATGTCAGCGCCGGAAGTCAGAATAGTATATGGGCTGAAGACATCAATTTTTGCAAAATACGCTAAAGATTTTGGGTGAGATTACAGAACGTCTGCAACTTTGCAGGGGTCGATTCTCGAGTTGTAGGAATTTGATTCCGAGGAAAATGAATTCCTATGATAATATTCCTACAGTTTTAGTTATCGGTATTCTCGAGTACAATAGGAATCCAATTTCCTGTATGAGTTCCAATTTCAGTATGTCGTTGATAATTTCAAGATAACGCAAAAACGAGCCAATGGAATGTATTTATTTCAGTTAAATATAGTTGTTTAACAGTTGGCAACAAGGCAATTTGACAATTTGTTAAAAATATTTGATTTTCTGGATGTACTGGTTATTTATTTTTAATATTTTTTATTAGCAGCAAAAAGAGAAAACGAAAAAGTTTCAGAAGGACTACCATTGTGATTACCGTTTTTTATATTTATAAGTAGAAACTAAAGAAAGTAACTAGTACAAATGTTTTTCCTACACCAAAAGGTTAATGCTTGTATCCTCTAATTTCTGATTTGAAATCCAAAAATATAGGAATACTTTAAATATTTAGCAAATTATAGTAAAATTCACAACATACATCATTATAACTTGGTTTGGGCTCCGTCGAGGAATCCTGATGTGCGAATTTTACAAAAAAAAAAGACTCAAAAGTAACTATAGTTTCTTTGGTAAATTTTCATAAAAATTTATGGATTTTGGTTTATTTTATTTATTGACTTAAAGACATTTCAAATAGGATAATTTTACTCGTCAAATTAAAATTAACTTTTAATAATATATGTAGTATATTTCTTTTTTAAATGAGTTTGGAATCGCCTAAAAAATTTGCATAAATCAATAAACCACATTAAACAAGCTACTATTGCGCAAGCGCGATTACAAAATCTTGTAGGAAAATTAAATTCCCTGTCTCATGAGCATGGGAAATCATTTCCTATAACTGCTTAGCAAAATATTCCTACAACTTGACTCCAGAATACGTAACCTACTTTCCTATAGGAAAATCAACCAAATTCCTATAGGAAAAAAGTCGAGAATCGACCCCCAGATCTGAAAATATGGCGGCAATTTTGCAGATCTGCAAATATGGCGGACTTAAACATATGCAAGTATCAAGTTTTAGTATTCCAAAAATTCGCAATATTTGTTGTGGTTTATTGCCCCCAACAACACCAAACCCAAATCCATGACTATTTTTAAAAACTCGATAATCTAACACCACGAACTGTATTCAATCAAAAGAAATAGAAGACTTCTGTAAGATGTTCTATCCTTCTTAAGGGTGGATTTGGATTTAGTATTGTTGGGGATAATAAACCACAATAAATATTGCGAATTTGCAGATTTTTTTTTAGGAAAACGAAAATTTGGTAGTTGCATTTGTAAGTCCGCCATATTTACAGATCTGTAAAGTTGCCGCCATATTTGCAGATCTAAAAAGTTGCAGACGTTCTGTAATCTCACCCTTTTTCCATTTGAAATTAGATAGGGGCCCATGCAGTCATTCGCCATGAAGAGTTCCTGAGGTATTAAATGGGTGATATTCGAGGGTATTTTTGATATCTCTAAAGTTTTATACATAGATAAGGGTTACTCTCTGGTTTTATATTCACGTCATTTTATTGTCTGTTTTAGTAGAACTTTACAAGTACTTAAATATAATCTACCAAAAGCTATTCCAACAATAAAAGTTGAAAACGTTGAAGTAGGTATGTAAAGAAGTAAAATTGGGTCATAAAAATAATCAGATGTTTATTTTTAATTCTGAATTCTGTGTACTATTTGGTTAAAATTATAACTATATGTCAGTTAATAAACCTACTAATGATTATCTGTCAAATATATTCTTTTCCTTGTTTTTAAGTTGGTCTCATAGGTTGGTCTTAATTTCAATTCACTTTATTTAGTGCCGCGTTTGAGAATCCACATCGGATGCATTTTTTACATCTTGAGGGCCCCGGGACAATTCTCTCATCGGGCCCTGCAACTTTTCGTTTTCTAAAAAAAAAAAAGTCCAGGTCCTCGTCTAGAAAAAAATAAAGTTTCTCCTTATCTCAATTACTTCTTCTAAAAAAAAAAAGGTCCTCACCTCTACAAAAATAATCGCATCACCATGCAGGAACAGATAACCCTACTGTCGGGCCCCCCTTACAGCGCTGCCGGGCCCCCATTTGAGCCCGGACCCCGGGAATTAGTCCCGGCTACCCCCCCCCCCCCTCTAGTCGGGCCTGCTAGGATGCATCAGATGTGATTCTCAAACGCGGCATAGGTATATTACATCGTTGCATAGATATAGAAAATCATCGTTGCCATGTCTATTTTAACTGGGATTGGTTATAAAATATAGCTAATAACACAAAATTAAATTAATGGAATAGAAATTTGAGTTAAAATTTAAACGTCATAGTTATAAAAATAACTTTTAACCTGGGTATTAAAATTATCTAAAAGTTTACAGAATAGGCCCCCATAAATCCTATAAAAGGATACAAATAGGTTACTTTTTAAAATGTAATTACAAGTACAAATACAATCTATTAAAGCTATTTTTTAAATTTTTTTGTCGAACATATGATTATCTCCAAATATCATTCTATATATAACGTACCACATTGCATTTACTGTAGCTTGAAGCACAATATCTGTGGCTCGAAGCATTTTGCCTCGGAATCACCGACAGCTCAAAGAGAGTTAAATTGACAAAAGAATAAGATATAAACATTTTTTTGAAAACATTTAAAAAACGGGCATGTAGTGCTCATGTCTGGCAGACCCTTCACGACTAACCACGTTTCATAAGCATACGCGCCTGATGAAAGGTTAAGTAAGTATTCTTTTAGTTGTTTATAAATTTGTGTTATTTTTTATTTGCTAATCTCGAAGATTCTAATTAATACATTAGGTAGTGCGAGTTATATTACAATATGCCTTTATTATAAAAATATTGATCTTTTACCAACATCATATATTTTATTTTGATTAAATAAATTGTTACAACTAAAGTCCTTATGTAAATAACCAAGGTGTATTATTGGACAATAATTGTCTTTATACTTTATTTTCTCATATTTATCGCATAAAAAGAAAGTAAATCAAAGTATCTTGTTTCCAAAGAGATTCTCAATCATTAATAGATAATTAAACCAGGTTAAAATAAACCCAAAAACCTCGAGTAATTTTAATGTCGTTTAGTTAATTAAATAACGAAAGTATGTCATTAATAAATTATTAAAGGCCGATTCCACCGTTGTCAAACGAAGTTTAAACTATAGTAACCGAAGATTAAAATGACATTGTTCATCTAAAAATGTAATTTTAATCTTCGTTAAGTAATTTAAACTTAGTTTAAAACAATGGTGGAATCGTCCCTAAAATACAAAAGTAGGTTAACCGACCTATCAAGCAAAATAATAAAGATGAGACGCGCTTTAATTATATTTGGGCATGAGATAAGTAATTGATTTAACCACGTCCTTTCGATGACATGCATAGAATGTTTATACAAACAGGTGGGTGTTCTTGTTGATATAGACAGCTTTCATTTCTATGTTCATGCCATCGAATCTTTTTTAATATTTTAATATCTTTTAAGGATAGTACATCACTGGAAAACGGAAACACTTATCCACCATTAAGTCCCAAAGGCCAGGGTACGTTCTGATATTCATTTCCAAGGCAAGGTGAAATAGTTTATCAGTTCCGTGTTTACTTATTTCGTAAAAAGAAGAAGAAGATTATTATTGTTTTTTAGGTTATATTTTTGAAAATATAATGTTATTGTATGGTTTTAGAATTACACCAAAAGAAATAATCCGGCTTAAATATAATTGTCAATTCCATAGGCAAAGTTTAAACAGATTTTCCCTTTTTAGTTCAACATTTCAACATAACCTGGAACAATTATTTCCAACACAAGTATTTTTAAATTATTCTACCGATTCTAAAAAACACGTTAATGTCGGTACTATAGGCCATGTAGATCATGGCAAAACTACATTAACTGCAGCCATAACTAAAGTTTTACAGAAAAAAGGACTTGCAAAATACACATCATATGATGAAATTGACAGAGCTCCGGAAGAAAAAGCGAGAGGTAATTCTAAGTGTATAGAAACTTCAATTAAACATTTTTCTATTTTAATACAGTAGAGTGTCAATAATCTGGACGTCTTGGCCACAAAAAAGTAAACTGTTACTGCTGTTCAAAAATCAATAACATATTTTTTAAGTGCTCTGACAATCTTTAAACTACAGTATTCTGTAAATACATATTGTACGTTACATATGTATGCACATTCTTTTAATAAAATACATCATAAGTTCATATTAATTTATGGTTTTATTTATCTGCTCAATTATTTAACAAATGTGAATTATTAACGGTTTTAGCAGATTTTCTTTTTGTTATGAACTCAAACAACCTTTTTTTGGTTCTTTTCGAAAATTCAGACATTGTGATAATCCATACAGGGTCCCCTTACAATTAATCCGGATTATCAACATTCTACTGTAGTAGTTTTTTAAAGTATTAGTACAATAATAATTACTTAAGTTTAAATTACCAACATCAAACTTTCTGCAGCTTCATTTTGCCATATTCATATTCAGTAAACTGTTGTTATGAGTAGTATTTTAATTATTATTTGTAGTTTCTGGAAATTTTAGATTTTTGTCATAAATGTTTAATGTTGAGGATGGTCAACTGACCGCTACCTAATTGACCAGTCTTATTTGGTCAAAATATCTAAAATAATAAAAATTATTTTGAGTTGGTTCATGTTACATATCAATATTATAACATTTTCGAACTGCAAGCATTGACACAGAGTTATTGTGCACTTGGTGCATCATTATTCTACTTTCAAATTGCAGAGGTGGAAACAATGTTAAATGTTAATGTTCATCAAACAGCTAATTAAAATGTTTTTATGTTTTAGATTCCATTTAAATAGAAATATGTTCTGCATTTTCTTTAAATGCAATAATAAAATATTGATTTTTATTTGGTTTATTATATTTTTTAATTTATTTTAGTCAATTGACTGGTCAAAACCACAACCCTAACCCTATAAATGTTTAACAAGTTTTCACATAGATGCTTGAAGCCACAGTTTTTATAGCCTTAATGGCAGACTAAACCTAGGGACACATTCACAATTAAAAATTAGTAATATAATTCTCTAGTTGAGCTTCTTTGTGATTTTTAGATATTTTTCTTAAACGTAAAATAAACGTTAAGACATTTTGAATATTTAAGAGTTGGGGAAATAAATAAAATAACACTAGAATTTTATGAGATAGGGTGGGCAAACATGACCCATTAAGGTTATTCTCAACCAACAGCTAAACATAGCAAATTTATTTGTTTATTTTTTAATCGATTAACCAAATTAATGTTTTGTTCTAGGCATTACAATTAATGCTGCTCACATTGGCTACAGTACAACAAAGCGTAGCTATGCCCACACAGATTGTCCTGGACATGCTGATTACATAAAGAATATGATATCTGGAGTATCCCAAATGGATGGAGCTATCTTAGTGGTTGCCGCTACAGATGGTCAGATGCCCCAAACTCGAGAACATTTGCTCCTTGCTAAACAAGTGGGCATAACAAAGATTATTGTTTATGTTAATAAAGCAGATCTAGTAGATGATGAGGTTTGTATAATTTTTTAAAGTATTTGACATTGAAAATTCCTGAAAATTGAAATTCAGTTTTGCTTTTTAGGTATTACAATTGGTGGAATTGGAAATTAGAGAACTACTAGAAGATTTTGGATTTGATGGTTCTAATTTACCTGTTATATTTGGCTCTGCATTGGAAGCACTAGAAGAAAAAGATACTGAATATGGAGTTCCTTCAGTATTGAAACTTTTGGATATATTAGACAGTTATATTCCAGATCCAGAAAGAGATTTTAACTCGCCATTTATGCTGCCAATAGACAATGTTTTCACAGTACCTGGTAGAGGCACTGTAATAGTAGGAACTATACATAGAGGTACTATTAGAAAAAATGCAGAGTCTGAGTTACTGGGTTTTGATACTAAACTTAAAACAACTATTTCTGACATTCAAGTTTTCAAAAAAAGTATCCCACAGGTAAGATTTTTGCTTTAAATAAGTACTGAAGACCTATAATATCAAAATGAGAATTCTAAATATTTCTATTTGCCTCTGATAATACCGAGGCAGTAGTATGTAATGAAAACTTAAATTACATAAAAAGTAGTACTAATAACAATGGTGAAGTATGTACCATTAATGATAAGAAGTGTTTTCTTTCAGGCAAAAGCTGGAGAAAATATAGGTGCACTAGTAAGGGGTATAAAAGTAAAAGATGTTTCCAAAGGAATGATTTTATGTGCTGCAGGTAGTCAAAAAATTAGTAACAGATTCAAAGCTAGTATTTATTTTCTTTCTAAAGGAGAAGGTGGTAGGTCTAAGCCAGTGACAAACAAATATTGTCAACAGTTATTTAGTAAGACCTGGAATGTGGCATGCCGAATCGATATGGGTAAGTTTTAATTAAATAATTAGAAAATAATAAATATATTTAACCATTAATAATACCTTATTATAACCTTGCACTACATTAATGTGATGTAATTTGTGTTCCTCGGACAGTTAACTTTTAACAAAAACAATTCTGTTATTGCAATTTGACATGTACATTTTTAGTTTTTCTTTTAATATTGTTTGCAGGTCATAAAAAATATAATTGTATTGGAGTGGGTAGAAAGTAAGTGGACTGTATATTAATGTTGAGGGATGTTACTTCTTTGAAAAGAAACCAATAGAAGAGAGCAAATTGTTTACGTAGCATTCACAGCTTTTACACAAAAGTCATACATATAATAAACAATTTATTTTTTTTAAATGAAAAAATATTTATTGAAATAGGTAACCCTAATATACAAACAATTTTTGTTACAAAACAACAACACAAATTCAAAAATCAGGAAAAAAAATTACAATTTATAACTGAACAAAACAGAAAAACAATTAAAAGTCCAAAATATAAAAGAAAACTATACATAAAAGTTCCAAATACAAAAGTCTAAAATACAAAATATACATATTAATATATACAAATAAAATTTTTTAAAAGAGATTTGCACATACTGATTCAAGCACTTTTTCTATAGGTGGCAAAGTATTTATAGGTTGGAATTTCGAAGCATTGTATTACTTACTTTAGGAATTGGAACTATTGTACTTATTTTTGGTGAATCTGGTACTGTTGCAGTCTGAAGAGAAGTATTAATTAGATTTAAGATAACATGACTACACGTTTTGGAATTAAGGATTTCATAAATAGTACATTTATTGTCCAACGACTTTACAATTACTGTTATTCACTCAATGACAACAACCGAAAATTTGAAAATTGAGGATATATATTATAGTTACAGAAATTTTCTGTTATTTCAGTAGAGATGCTATCAACTATTTGAGTAATGCTACCTATAAAAAATATATTAAATTTAATTGCAATTTCAGTAACATTATGTTCGATTTGGCGTTCATTGTTTAAATTAAATTCAAAAAAATTTGGAAAATTTTGACTGTTAGTATTAATTAACTTTTTAAGAGTCTTCCACGTTAGTCGAGAATTATTTTTATATCTATCAATTTTATTAAAATAATATTGTTCTTTTTTATTTTTAGTAAATTTACAACTTCATTCCTCAATTTTTTAAATATAAATATGTGCGATTTTCATGTTTTTTTTAGAATAAATGAAGACGTTTTACTATAAAAAATATATTTTATTTTGTTTATTGACTAGACTGCACAGTGTGTTATTTTTACATAATCCTTATCCTCAAGCCAATTGGCGCCCCTCATCTTCGCAGTTGCATTTTTTAAATTTTTAGTTTGTATTACCTTGTCTAGGACATATAATTTTCCTAATACCTGGTTACAGAAGTCATCCTCCTTTTTAGTGTATTGACACTTGCAAATAAAAAAGCATCATATGTCAAAATAATTATAGAGTAGTACTGATTTTTTATTTGCAAATAGTAATCTTATAAGTTTTCCCTGATATACCCTGATTTTCCAGCAAATTTAACAAAAATACCATGACCTTATTTTGTTTTGTTATAGATGCAAATGTAGACATGATATTACCTGGAGAACATGGGACAGTTTATGTCACTTTATTACGAAAAATGGTTATGGTACCAGGACAACAGTTTACTATTAGAGAAAACAACATAACTGTAGGAACGGGTATTATTGCAGAGACTTTAACTGACATTAATATTACTACTAGTTTAGGAAAGCTTGAAATATAGTGAAATAAACTGTTTTGTAAATAAAACACATTTTCATAAAATTTTAAGTATTTAATATAAAATGTATAGGTATCCAATATAATAGAAATATTTTTGCCTTATTCTATTTAGTAATATATATTCTTAAACAACTAAATCACCAGAGGACCAAGCAGGCGCTTTCACATTAAAATTATAGTAATGAGTAATTTTGACAAATAATACTGATGAGTATGATGATGAACATTAAAAAAAAATCAAAAAACTCATCACATTTATCCAATTTTGACGGCCCTATAAAACAAAAATGAATTGCCAATCTATCATTAAATGTTTAAATGTGGTAGCATACCAGGTTTATATTTTTAACTTATATGTATATCAAATTATATAGATATAATACAGGTTCAGAAAAGACATTTCTTTATATCTACAAGTGTGATAAGAGTTTCCTTTTCGAACCTGTCAGATTATTACATATTTTAAATGTAATAAATAGGCACAATTTGCCAAAGAGTATGAATTACTTTTGTCAATCAAGATAAGTTCACAGATCAGTCTAAAAAAAGTTTTTACGGTTTTTTCCCTTGTCATGTCAGGACAAGTTGATTATGGATCATTAATAATCTTCTTCTCATCAATTTTTAGGTTACACAAGAGCTTTCAGTGCAGTAGGAAATATATTTCTGAATTAGGGACCTTTTATTAATCTGTGAATACCACAGTTCTTAGTGCATCTTCTGGCCTTATTTCAAGTTGTGCAACTGTACCGTCGTTAAAAGGGAAAGAAATTCCTCCGTCCACTACCAATATTGCCTCAAAACAGTGTGATTGAACTTCGATTTTAGATGCAAAACCTCTAGGCTTTATACCTTTAGGATCTGGCCAGACTCCTGAAGATATTAGATCTCGAATTGTGTATCCCATTTTTTTGTGCTCTAAAAAATTGATAATTAATATTAATTTAGCCCTTCTCAAACCGTTCGGATCGTTTTTTAATAAATTAAATTATAGACACATTCTTTTTGATAAATGATTATCACTGTGAGAGTAACTACAACAGAATAAAACGCAATTTTATATTTTAATATTTCTGGTAATTTCTATAACAAAACGAATTATTTCTTCTCAAAATTGATTCTATGTACATAAAAAATGCACATACAAGATTTATAATTAACGTACGAGCAAAGAAAGGGGTACCACAGAGGATGACCTTACAAAAATGCTAATATCTGTAGGCTTTTACTGCATAGGCTTGTAGTTCGTACTGTCTTACTACTTATTACCATCACTGACTGTATTTCTAGCCATAAACCAAAGTAACACCGTAGCTAGTAAAAGCATCTAGTCTACAAGCTACAAAGTGAGGTGAAATACTTTTTTTAAAAAACTAGTATAATTGTACTTACAGTCAGGAATAGGTACAGCAGGTGCTAAGCATAATTATTAAAGTTATTATCCATATTTTAATGGGTCAACAACCACCAGACATTTATTTTATTTAAATTATTAAAAGTCGGGTTAAAAACATCACGGGATGATATCTAATGTCGCCAGTACGCGAGAACTACGGATGTAATAACAAAAACCATTTAATTTCGGTAAGACTACACATAGTCTAAGATCCGAAGTAAGGTCGACCTTCACCCATCTGTTTAATGGATGAAAGTTTCTTTTTATTAAATAAAATATGTTTAAAAATATACTGCAAAAGGGTTGCCTAAGAAAATACGGTCCAGACTATTTATTTTCTTAAAATAATAAAAACGACACCCTGTAAAGTCTTTCCCAGATGCGTCGACTATGCCCAAACTTTAATCAGCTCACCGCAGGCTAGATTAAAGCTTAAATTGAAAATTTGATGTTTTTCTCCTTATCCGTTTTTGAGTTGTCTTTAAAATTCCAAATTTTCATTTTTCCTCAAATATCTCGAATTAGGTCCATTTTAGGGAAATCATGTATAGAGACAAAATAATATAGAATGACATCGTTAGTAACTTTTATCATGATTTCTATACCTTTCTTATCTGTATACAGAAAGAAAAGCAAAAAATGGCCGTGACCGTATTTTCTTAGGCAACCCATTTGCGGTATATTTAAAAACATATTTTATCAAATAAAAAAAAACTTTTATCCATTAAACAGATGGGTGAAGGTCGACCCTACTTACGGATCCTGGGCTAACAGTTTATCACAAAAAAAATTCACAAACTTTCGGCTCTATGTTAATACAAACAGCTAATTAAAGAAAAAAATCGTTGACAAAAAATGTTATGCTATAAAAGTGTACTAAAATATGAGTACATCGCCGCGTTGCCAGATTTATCTTTGCTAGGCTAGAAGTACGGTCGGTAATGTTTCTACCTTTCTAGGATTTGCTGATGACCTTGTGATCACTGTAAAAGGCAAGTTTCAATATCGGAGGACACAAAACCACAATATTCAACTTCAAAAAACGAAAAGTACTGACAGGACTGAAATTAGTTGAGATTCCGTTTACCCTAGGCAGCTATTCTCGAAGGAATAGAAAACTGGTTTTTCCTCTTTTTCTGCAACGTACAAGATTTGTATTTGTCTCGTTCTTCCCTTAAAATTTATACTCCCCGAGATTCAAGAATAGATATCCAGGAGGCAAAATAATTGGGTGTCATTTTTGACCGCAAGTTAACATAGAATCAACACTTACAAAAGTCCCCCGAAATAGCACGACGTCCTTCAACTTAAGTCAGAGGCTGTGCAGTAAAAAATGAGAATTACAACCAAAAATGTCCCATGGCTGTATACCAAAGTATAAGACATATGTCAACCTAAGGGTTGGTAGTGTGGTGGGGAAGTATTCAAAGGCAAGCATGTTCGAGTCCCATATGAGAATCACTCCACTAGCAGTCCTTGAAGTTATGCTAAACTTAAAACAGTACCACACATATAGACCGTTTCACCATGTTGAAATAGCGGTAATTCAAAAGTTTCGTACTGTTTTGATCGACAATGGCTAGGAAAGCAATATTATCTCTACAGAAAAATTAATCTTTAGAAAAAATCGTTTATGGTGATTAACTTTTTTAAAACTCTATAGAAGCGCATAGTTGTGAGCAGTTAAAAAGGTGGTTGAAGTGTCTTGGACGTTTGTTACAAAGGAACAAAGTGGACTGATTGAGAGGTTAGGTGTATCAATACTTCTTAACTGTGTAAAAAATTAATGAAAACAAATAATAATTATAACTCTAATCTAATTAATTATGCCAACCAACTATTATTACTTGCAAAAACACTTTAATTAACATGAAAGGGAATCACGAGTATAATTTATAAAATAAATTATTTAATATTTTGAGGATCAACATGACATTTTTAATCATATTACTATGTATATCGAAGTAGTATTTAATATTAAAAAAATATTGTTTAATACCAGATAAGAATTTTTTTCTGTTGGACCACTTTTTCCTTGAAAATGCAGTGAACAAATAAAACTATCTTTAGTAACATCATTAATCCATCGAACACCGTTGTCACTTCGACCACATTTTTTTACACCTAATGCACATTTTGAACATGTTTTAATATGGATTTTGCCTGATAATTTTTTACGATATTGCAGCCAAGGCTTTGGAAAATTTATAAAATAATATGTATTGCCTTTGAATGAATATACAGTGTATCACTTTTACATAACAACACCGTTTCGTTGTTCCTTTCCATACAGATAACATAATTATAATTGATTGCAAAAATGTATTTTTCAATTAAGACACTAAACTTATTATTACTTTACTTTTTCTTCCTTTTTTAAATGAATATAAGTACTTAAATTATTATTTATCGATTATAATTTTTTTCACTTGGGCATTTTAACATGCTTGTTTGCACAAACAGTACGAAAAAGATAGCAGATACTGACGCATGCGCACAAAAAAAATGTGTGATGAAAAGGTCTATTCATTAAATCCATTAAAAATGAAACCAGTTCCGTCACATACAGATGACTGCCCAAAGGTCCATCACCCATAAGGAATCTGCATGGACGTGACATGTGAGCTATATAAACAGTTGGAAAACGACCAAATGAGAATGCTTCCAAAATATAGCTCAAACCTTATAAAGTACATATACCAGACAGGTAAGTGTGGAATGGGGGACTTCCTATTCACACATAAATCAGCTGGTATACAGACGGCTCCAAAACTAATGAAGGAGTAGGTGTAGATATAGTGCCAAGAAAAAGACAAGAATCTCACTGAGCTTAGGTAAACGAAGATAGTATTATAGGTAGAAATAGCAGCAATACATCACTGTGCAAAAGAGGTACTAAGACATAAGGTAAATGAAAAAATCGTGACGTTAAAAGCACTCAGTTCCATGCAGAGACACTCAAAGTGTGTTTTTGGAAGCCATAACAGGCCATATAACGGCTGATTTACTAGACCGAGGAACCTTAAAGGCTCTTTTTGGACAGAAAAATCCTGGACATCCATCAGAACATGCACAAAGCAGTGTATGATAAAAAAATCTCAAGAATGAAACAATTAATCAAGACAGAGACAGGCCATAAAGTTATCAACGATAATACCACAAAGGCGAGAATTTTTTGTTTTGTTTCCTTGAAAATCAGTTGTAAGGAAACAACAAAATATTCTCAAAAAAAATTATCACCTCGCGTGGTCTTTTGAAAGATTTTATTTAACAATATAAACAGAACTTTTAAATACAATTTAACGTTAATTTAACACTGTGACACTCGTATGTTTTCATGTTATTACTAAAAGCCTCTTAAGTAGTTATTTTTGTCAGTTTTTAGAAAACAAAAATATTTGGTGAAGTAAGTTTTTTTTTATTTATAGTATATTTAAAATACAATTTTGAAATAAACTAGTCTAAAATATTGCAAACTTTACAAAGCAGTTTCAATTTTGTTTTTAATCTTTTTTGAATCTTTTGTGTTCATCCTCAACCCTGATATTTTAAGGTTAAATTTTCAACAGTTTTAGCCATTGAGATAAAATAAAGAGTAGATGCTATGATAATACTAAAAGTGTCCATACCTTTGCATTACATTTTTACGTCATGTGTCAAACTCGAGCTAGTGGAGCTACCAGTTTTGGCGAAAATAAATGTTAATTTTTTTTTTAAATTGGCTTCATTTAAATGCTTTAAAAACATTTTCATTCCGACAATCTTCAAATATAAAATTATTGACTACAAATAAATCAAAGTCGCCATTTTGATTACACTTTTCCGTCAGTCAGGCAACGCTAAGTGCGTCCATCTGTCATATCGTAACATAGTGTTCATATCGTCTCAACTTTATTCTATCTCAATGGTTTTAGCACCACATGACGTAGATGGGTAATAAATTTAAAAAATATACGATAGACTGATTTGTGGTTTTTTAGCATCATTCGGTGCAGGTAGGGAAGTTAATTATTGATTTTTGCATCAAATGCAATTTAGCCAAAATATGACTTAGGGGTTTTTAGTAATAACTGATTCTTGTTTTTATTGGCGTGTGTTGGAAAAAAGAGGATTGTCATTGGTTGATGTATTATATTGTTGAATAATCACCAAAACGCACCGAGCATCTACTAAGCCAGAATAGGAAAAATACTAAAGCACCAGTAGGCCTATTAACAGGGCATTGTAAGCTTTACAGACCTATAACATAAGTCTGGTAGAAGATACTTTGGTCCGATTCTGTTACGAAGAGGAGGAAACTGCAGTACACATATTGTGCTACTTCAAAGGTCTATCATGAGTGAGATTTCATACATTTGAAGAAAAATCAAGGGCAATTAGCTACAAAGGAGAGCTACTACCAAACTAGAAAAGACCAAACTATACAAAGTATTGTAACCAATGATCAAAGGATATCCACAATAGAGCGAAAAGATCGAGATGGAGAAGGCTACCAGGCTCACAATTCCAAATCTTAGTACATAAAACCATCGGTACAATGCCAAAACCACGAATGTGCAAATTTCAGTTCATGCCTTAGGTCTTAGGTAATGAAGCAACTGCTAAATTCTCATATTCTCAAAATAGACATCGGGCGTAGAGGGTGTTTAGATTCTGGAGGCACACAAATTTCACATTTGTGGTTTGGCATTGTACCGACAAATATAGTATATAATAAAATCTGACATAAAATTATGTATATTTAATTATTTTAAGGATTTCATTGGGTACGAAATTATTTTGGCTTCAAATTGATAACTCAATGCAATTAGAAATAATGACAATAACTCCAAGTTGAGACCAATGTGTGAAGCTTGACAACATAAGCGTTTACTTACCAGGTGAAAATATAAGATTCTTATTATAAGTATCTGATAAAGCCACTGCCAAACTGTCTTTGCCTTCTGTAGGATCGAGATCAATCAACCTCAAGAGTTCAGCTACACTTTGAGTCGACAGTCTATTAATACTTAAATGCCAGGAAGTTGATCCTGTTCCTGTTGACACACACATTCCTGAACATTTTATATTAGTGTCATTTTGTGAACCATTTAACTTCATTTGAAGATGTGATACTCTTGCAGATAGTGTTTCGCCCATAAATACCTAACAACAGTAATCTATTAAAATTCAATTAAATTAAAGAAATATTAATACAGAGTTCATAGCTACTTGTTTTTTGTTTCCTTGGTTCATTTATTGCTTTAAATAAATCTGCTACATTAAAAAAACAAATTTTTAATAGTTAACAACTATGGAATGATAATTTATGAAACAAGTGAGAAAAAACGACACTTTTCCCACTTTTGCAATTCCTAAACAATATCGATATTATATTTTTTAACAAAACAATGTTTTTCAATGATTTATTTTACTTCTCTCTAATATTATTAATCCATATTAAGAATATTACATTGTATAAAAAAAATAGAAATGGAAACAAAATAGACATCAGGGCCGAATATTGAACCGTAACATCTAATATTAACTTTTTACACACATATATTGTTGTGAAATAGTTTTTTAATCAAGTGAATTTTTTTTAATAAACTAATAACGCAATGTCATATTTTGGAATTGCTATTTTCGTCAGCCATGGTTGACATTTTGTTTAAAATAACTTTACTCTTTCAATACAACTATTTTTATCTAAAATGTGAATGTATACAAAATTATACTAGTATTAAATTTGAGTTTATTTGAGAGAGGAGCCGTTAGAAATGATTTCTCATGGATATTGCGATAGTGCGAGAGATTTATTTTCAATGCAAGTAAGCTGTGATAAAAAATGTAACTTTATAGCAATCTTAGAAAAAATCTTGATTTACTTCCTGAAGTTGGTTGAACTTAGCTAATTAAATGTAAATACAATATGGCAACTGATTATGAACCCTGTAAATTAAATTATGTATGGGTTATACTTACCTCATTAAGGGCTAAAACGGGCAAGACATTCTTTTCTGCAGCTCTGAATGGTGGCAAAGAAAAACCTTTAATATCATGTAAACATTTGGGACTTAAAATATCATTTTCACTTACTGCTAATGTTGTTCTTATTCTATTACGCATTAACCATTTAAACTGCCCCTAAAAAATATCAATGTCATCAAACATGCTAAGAGTTCTGTAAATGGTTATAGGAAATGGTTAGGGATTATCTGCAAATAAGAACGTAAAAGTTAATGCTGATTATGGTGGAGGATTTGGAATAGAAGAGAGTGGTGTTGATAAAATATTGCATCCTCTACAATGGAGAATTTTGATAGGTATTTTTCCAACCATTTAATTACATCATAATGACCTATAATATTACCACTAGGACGAAAAATCATAAGGAGATCTCAAAACTAAAACTTTCGAATACTGAATATAGGAAGAAAAAAGGCGGAAAAGACAATTACGTTTATATAAAGAAAAGGAAAAGAGCATACTTGTTGCAGTTTTTCTAAAGTTTTTTTAACATCCATAGAACACCATCTAGGCAGACAAAGGCATCCTTCAGATCGACTTGGGTCTGAATTAAACCCAATAACTGGTTTTTTATTATTTCGTACTCTGCTAGATGCTAATAAATAGGTTCCGTCTCCACCTATAGGAATTATAATATCTGCTGTATCTACTTTGTCCTCTGTACAATTATATCTAAAAATTAAAGACACTTAACAGTTGGTTGCAGGAACGTACATTAACATATATTAGCCCAAGAACACATTGAGAGCTTGGGAATGTGATTTATAAACATCTTAAATTGGTTTGAGATTCAGCTCTTGGGGCGAAGCGAGTAGCTAGGTTGTTTTCTTGGGGGTAACACTTCCCACATTATTGGTGAATGCGCAGCGTGTTATCTTAGAATATGGTACCAATGCAACGTCTAGAGTTCATATGTATATTTCCAGAAAAAAGACAGTTTTATAATGAAGTTTTAATTTTTTATATATTTATACAGGGCGTTTCAGAATAAAATACCGTAATTTTGGGGATTTGTAGATCTTAATCAATTATAAAGAAAAGCTAAATATAATTTTCCTATAAACGTTCCAATTTTCATTCTACAGGGTGATAAAGTGAATTTCATAAATACATATTTTCTAAATATCTTCCCTTACAGAAAAGACTTCTTAAAAATATGTTTATGATAGGTAATCATTATTATTAATTAATACACTATTTCAATAAATTACCATAACCCAGTGGTGTAGAATAAAAAGCTAAAGAAACAATTTTATTCAAAACTTTTTGAACGCCCTATATTTCATAAAATTTAACATTAATAAATATTTCTCACGCCATTTATCACAAAAGACTTCTGGTTGATCTTTGTAGACCTTTCCATTTCCGAGGTGATAGAACTGATTTATTTTATAGAAAGCGTTTTGAAACATAGTCTTAAATATGGCTAATTTTAAGTTCAATTTACACAATTTTGTCAAATGCAACACACTGTATATTATTTTCGCATAAAATTCCTTATAAATTTACCTATCCAACGATATCAACATGTCCCAATAGTGCGTAATTGATCGATAGCTGTTTTATTATTGGAAATAGGAAAAACAAATTATTAAAAAAGTTGTATGACCATGTTTAATAAATGTTCTTAAATATACAGGGTGGTCCATAAACGAGAGGCTGACCAAACTTATACATTTTTATATTTAATTGTTTTCACAACATCAAACAACTTTAATAGACTTAATTTATTTGCTATGTTGTATATAGGGTCTTTCAAAATGAGGGGTAACGATTTTCTCATTTTTTTAAATGGAATACCCTTTATGTCATACCACCAATTAATTAATACAGGGTATTCCATTTAAAAAATTGAGAAAATCGTAACCTTACGTTTTGACACACCCTGTATACAACATAGCAAATGAATGACGTCAATTAAAATTGTTTGACGATGTAAAAACAATCAAATATGTATTACTACCTGCAGGGTGTTTTACTTTAAAAAAATATAGATTTGGTCAGCACCTCGTTTATGAACCACCCTGTATATTTAAGAATATTTGTTAAATATGGTCATACAACTTTTATAATAAACATTTCTTCGTATTTCTAATAATAAAACAGCTATCAATCAATTATGCACTGATGGGACACCCTGTACATGTGTTATTGACTAACACATTGTTATTGTTACATAGGCAAATTTATAGAGAATTGTACGCCAAGAAAATATACAGTGTGTTGCGTTTGAAAAAAATGAGTCAATTGAACTTAAAATTAGCCATATTTAAGGCATGTTTCAAATCACTCTGCATAGAATAAACCAGTTGTATCACCTCTATTCGTTAGCTTAGTCTGTAAATTAAACAATTTTGAAATTAATGTAAACCTACCAAAATTATAATAATTTAATCTGGGGTCTGCATCATTCTCTAATTTAAAAAAAATTAATTGTAACACTGTAATATTTTTTAAAAACATTCTAGGGTTAAATACAGTATTCCCAAGCCATTCTAAAAATAAAATATAGGGTGTTCTATTTAAAAAACGTACATTTTTCTTTTTCAGGCAAAAATGAAACACCCTGTATATACAAAAATAGTTTTAAAATATGTATTTTTCAAATCCATATAACTTTTATTAATTTTTTTTGCTTGTCAATAATACAAATTTAAATATTGAACAAATATGCACTAATGGGACCCTGTATATAAATTTTAATTTTCAATTTTATTATTTTAGATGACAATATTTGAGAAACTCTTTGTTTTATTGTATTTATTTTATCTCTATTTTTGACTAAGGCTTGAGAGGTAATTACCCCCCATAACCCCCCCCTATCTACGCCCTTGCTTGGGGCTACGGCAGTTCGGAACGCGATATTAAGACCAAACTTGATATATAGATTTATTTTCCCATAAATAAAAATCTCATAAAAAATCTCGCCCCCTCATCCCCTAGCTGATACGGAGGGGGTGTCGCCATCAAAAAAATGTTTCTACATACAAATGTCATTCATGAACCGGATTCATCTTTATTAGGACTCGTCAGCAAGAAATAGAGTATCAACTTCGCATACTTGTGATTTTCTTTTACTATACGGAGAATGGTCGCACTACGCAGCTTTCTGAGTGCCTTTTAAAAGGAGATAGAAAACTCCGCCATTTTGAACCCTTATTACGTGTTGCCTACATCTTGGCGCAATATTTTTAATAGGTACGTTTTAATCATCCGCTTCTGCTTCGGAATTGTCGGTTTTCTTGTTTTAATCTGACAGGTTAAAACGACTAAACCGACAATTCCGGAAGCAGAAGCGGATGATTAAAACGCACCTGATATTTTGCTGGCTGCTGTCAGTGTCAGTCACATACTTTGATTTTGTGTCAGTGAATATTAGGCATTCCAACGACCTGTCAAACAATAGGTGCCAGTGGGAAATTCTTGTATATTTAAGGGGGTAGCGACATAGTCTTGCAACTTGGACGCTATTTTTATTTGAAGTAGTACTCGCCAAGCCTGCCAATTTATGAAGAAATGTATAGGTGGGTTTTTTAAATATAATTTTTATTGTGTTTGACATACGCCCGTATGCACCGTACACGTTTAATCCAGATCAAGGGTTTAATCGCGTTTAGTACTATTTTTAGCTACGGTTCTAAACGCGATTAGACCCTTGATCTGGATTAAACGTGTACGGTGCATACGGGCGTTAAAATATTTAAATGTAATCCATTATTCATGATTGTACGTAAAGTAGATAGAATACACCTTATGTCGCCACCCTTAGATATACCAAACCTGCCCACTGGTAATTCATTTGTTTGGAATGCCTAATTATTTTTGGAGTCACAGTTTATTGCTAAAGAATCAGTTAGCTCACTCGGACCAGTTGAAAGTTCCAAAATAACATCCACTCCAAGGATACAAATTCAGGATACGCAGAAGACTGCTGTTTTATTATAGGCGGTTGTCATATATTGTATTATCTGAGTTGCGCAGTGTATAAACTGGAACATTGAGATAAAAAGTGCCGACGCAGAGTGAGCGATCTGATTCTTTAGCTATAAACTGTGTCATAGGGTTCAAAATGGCCGCGCCCTATGTTGGGCGTGTCGGACCTCTCTCTTGCTCCGTATAGTAATCAAAGTATGTGATCAACTTCCATCTATAATGGAGTCTGTCAGATGGAATAATTTCACTCGCCTACATGCATTGCGTTCGGGCTGCCAAGTTCCTTTAACACTTTTAACTCCAAACGACCCTTTTAGCGTTAGGTTTAGTCCGATTAGTGACAGTTTAACACGCTTAAATGTCATTTAAAAATTTGTCCCGCTCCAGCCCCTGACTGACCGAACTCGCCTATGGATGTTAGTTGAGAGAAGAAAGGGTATAGCAGGGCTGGTAATACCAGCCCTGAGGTATAGTTAGAGTAAAAATGGTGAAGTCAGCTGTACCAAAATCAAAGGTCGCTGTAGTATCTATTTCAGAGACTAGGTCATTGTAAAGAAGCCAAAAATGAGATTTTTATTTCCGCTGTAACTTTTTTAAATGCCATCCCCACATCCGAACTATGGGAGGTAAGATCGAAAATTAAGGTTAAAAAAAATTTTAAATGTTGGCTTTGTATGTACAAAAAATCGCAGATTCCAACCGTTTCATTTAAAAAGTTCTAAAATTGTGATTGCCCATACCGGTCCATAAATATGCAACAAGAAAACGAAGCAACGACGTATCGCCACCAAGAAACATCAACCCATACCTGGCTACGCCGACCGGCATAGACTCCAACGGCCTGGACACAGCTCAAATTGAATAATTGAAATGAAAAGTCCCAAATAAAAACATTTATTTTCTGGTTTTATCATCTGGCCTAGAGCTATTGAAAAAACAGCCACTGTCATTCCTGTTATGTACGTTCTTTTACTATGTTTGACAACTCCACATTTATAGAAATAAAAATATCAGTTGTCATATTATTCATAAACAAAAAATAATATAGAACGGTATTACCATGAATATATTTATTTAGAACAAATAACAAAAAGCAATTGGCAACATCGCTAAAATTATTGAAACGGCCACTTTTGCGCGCGCTAAATCATTTGAAGGTCAATACTGGGTTCATTTGTAGAACTTGACGTATGGTTCTGGTTATGGTTGACGTTAAATTGACAGTATTTTTGACAGCGGTTCAGATTTTGGTTCATATGGATGACGTCATAACAAAAGCCAATGGAATGAATGGGTTATTGGTTCGGTCAGTCATATGTCATTTTGATGTAAATATAAATACCACGTGTGTCTCATTTTTAAAGTTAGTTCTCAATTTTATTTTCTTTTAATTTTTTTTGTGTAGTTAGTTATTTGCCAAAGTAAACACTAAAGCTATATGATATAGAAGAAAAAAATATTAACTAACTTAAGTCTTTAATATAAAAATAAAATATAAATAAAATAGACACTACCGACAGGGCAATTAACAGACGAAAATAATAGTAACTAATTTAACTCTTTAAAATAAAATAGAAATAAAACCGACACTACCGACAAAGCATTTAACGAACGATGCAGACCTTTTTCTAGCGATAAACAGAATAATAATCTTCTCTTGAAAAATAGTGGCACATTTTTTGAATCTCATTTTAGTCCCAGACTTAATCTTAATGGTGTTAAAATAAACACACACACGCCCTTGAAGATTTCATCCCGAATACTAAACATTCCTAGGAAGTTTTGTTGATCACTACATATTTTACTTTTATTTACATTATTGTCTTAAGTTCTTTTTCCTTATTCATATTTATAAGAAAAGTGTCTAGTAAGATCCATTTTCTTAGTTGACCTCGTATGGAACTATTTAGGTTCCGCGGGAAAACTAAATTTAAAAAGTTAGACGATGAAAAGAATACTATTTAAATAAGGATAGAACATACCGCAAATTAGAACCGACTCGCGAGGCTGGTTCAAAAATGTTAACCAAATGGTTATAAGTGAAGTCATTGTTTATGAAAGGAATACGGTTGGTTCTAATTTGGTTAACTACAACTGGAACCAAACCCCAAAGGAAAACGCATAAGAAATAGAGGCTAATTAAAGTAACAACAGTAGTTGTTTTACAACATACCCTACATATGTGCAAAATTACCTACCTATTTACAACTTCTACGTCTGTTCCCAATTTATTCAAAGTTTCCTTTAGATGTTCTTCAAATTTCTTATGGAGATTATGGAAAGATACAAGTTTGTCATAATTCGTTCCTCGTTTTCTTAATACTTTTTCCAATTCATTTTCATTACAATCTGTATGAATTCTTTTTTCATATTCATACCTAGATAACTTCGAAACTATTAAAGCCTTTTCAATTTTTATTGGGTGTACTTCGTTTGAAAAATTTTGAATAAAAATATTTAAATTATTTGCTAAACCTGAAAGAAAATTTAAAAATTAGTTAATTTTAACACGTTCTATTGGCTACACTGGAGCGCGTTCAGAAAACATGCATTGACCAAAAAGAGTGATCAATTTGATCTTGGTTCGTTCAGGAACAGTCAAAGTGTTCAATTTGGACATTTTTAGCTACTCCTTGTTCAGAAAGTCGAGTCAAATTAGTCTAGAGTGCACTCTTTTTTTACCCAGTTTGAACTGAGTAAATTTGACCGAACGTAGAGTTCTTTTGCAGAAGTTGTTTCATATTTTTTTCGTGTGTCATTATGGTGTTTGTATATGGAATTTTATAAAATTAATTTTTTTTAAAATAAATAATCTAAAATTTCTTGTCTTATTGACTTTATAGATCATTCATTATAAACTCGATTATAAATAAGGCCGTGAATAGGTAAACATTGAAATAAAAAGAAAAAACGGCTAATAAACTAAATGAGTAAAAAGTAAAAATAAAGGGGCACGAGTAACAACGGGAAGCGAGGAACATTATAAAATGTTTGTAAACAAATAACTGTAAAAAACTTTAATTTTCAAATTTGTTGACGTTTACTGTTGACGTTTAGAAATTTTAGGCAAACGATCTAAGAAAATTGTCTACTCCCGTGTAAAATCATCTGAACGCGCTCCTGGTAAAAAAGGAAAATTTGTCATGGAACACAAGATCTCTAACTGTATGGAACACGAAAGTTTGATTTGACTGAACTTAACGGAAGTGCGTTCGAAAATTTATGAAACTTTTTTTTATAAGAACAATAAATATCTGACTGTCCGAAAAGTCGAAAATCTATTATTATACATAAACCATAGAAATATGATCCGAAGTCAAGTTGCAGAATGTTGCAGAAAAATTAAAATATTTAATTTTTACAGAACAAACGAACGGCAGAAAACATAACCTTCGAACGAAGCGTTTTTAATGTCAATAAGTCAATAAAAAAAAACTGTCAAGTTTAATTATTTTAACTATATTTTATTAAAAAATAATATATTTCTTACCTGTAAATAAGTTTCGTGGTAAAGATCTTGGATTATACATTGAAAATAAATAATTTATTAAAGGTCAATTAGCTTAAAACGTAGGACTTGATAATTTTACTCGTTGCAGGTTATAACAATTTAACTGCACTTTGGACTTACACAAAAATTATCAGTAAGTTTTTACGTTTCCCAATATTTATTTATACATATCTTTAATCAATGTTGTGACCTATTTCAGCAATAGACTTATATTTAATTCGTTTTTTCATTATTTTCTCAACATAACATTCGATGTTCTTGACAAAATATGCCATACATAACCTAATTTTATTTCGATTTTAGCGGGAAAAATTAAAAATCAAACAACATAATTTTGACAAATAGTTTATAATACCATGTAAGTTAAAATCACTTAACAATAATTGTAACATGGATATTTATATTTTATTTACATTTTGTTTTAAAAATAGAACATATCTGAAGTATCTCAACAACGGCACAATACCAAATGAGAAAACAAATCATTTGAGACTCTGTCGTAGAAATTTGAGAGACTCCAGTAGTGTACATAAAGTAAATAACGAGAAATGGCCTTACATTACTTTTGTGAGGTGGAAAGTGAGTGTTTTTGGTACTTGTATTTGGTATAAAAGCTTTTTATATTTAGGTAACATGCTTTGAATAAATTGTGCAGTATTTACAGATCAGAGTGCACCTAAAATTAAGAATTAGAGCATTAGTTTTGTGTGTTGAATCCATACTTTCCCTATTTTATTTTACCTTGTTTAAAAGTTCTGTAATGTTATCAAATAATTTACCAAAAAGTAGAAATTTTATGCATTAAATAAATAAAGTGAATGTATGAATTCCCCTTAAAAAGAAGTTTGCTGTGAATCATGCATTTTGCTTTACAGTGTTATTGTACTTATACTTATATATTTTAAAAATATTTTAATTTCTTGTTCTTTACTGAACAAATTAAGAAAATACATGCAAACTTGACTGAATTTATTCATTAAAGTACAGATGATAAAAATATCTATCCATAAAATGAGTGTTGTTTTAAGTATTTTTTTAAATTATTAAATATTATATGCTTTCGTTAAATTAGGTGCTGAAAGAACACCATGCAGAATAGCTTTTAGGGGGCACTGCAAATGTTAAAAGCCTTTTGGTTGCTTAAAATTTATTCTAACGTTGTGGGGATATTTTAAAATTAAAAGTATAAACATGCCTCTTGTAAATGCTTACTAATAACCAAACTATTTAGTATTTTTTATAGGCAAATTTGGCTTTCCACATTTAAAATTCTCCCTGTACAGGATGTCACATAAGCATTGATTGTTTTTGTGTCAGCGCTTTAATTATTGAGCCACCCTGTATTTTGATGTTGTTTTGAAACAAAAAATCATTTTCTGTTGACTTAAAATGTCTTATCATTCAATTATTACAGTTCATATTTAAATTTGTGGTCATTTGCAACTAAAATAGATAAATATTTAATTATTATTAATTGAAATTGAAACAGTGGTTTTATTTTTAGTAAAATGTGTTCTTTGATAACAATAATTGATGAAAATAAACAACTACCAAAATTTTACTTTATAATAATCCCTAAACATTTGAGATTTTACTGAAATTATATTTGAAATATCATTAAAGAAGAGTTATTTAATTTACATATTTTATACTTAAAACATTTTTTTATGAAGTCATTGATAAAATTAAATTTGGAAATTTAATAATATTTTGAAATATTTAGTCTTAGCACTCATAAACTCTTTAAATTAATTAAAGAACACTTTGTTTAAACGGAACAATTTTTTTTCTGCAAACTACATTATTTAGAGCCATTTTCATTCAATAAAAATCAGGAAGACATTAATAGTTTTAATACGAGGGAGGGACCTAAAAAATACTGATTAAAAGAGAGAAGCCATTCCTAGGCATAGTAGCGAGTTCTCTCACTAGGCGAGTCTACTAGTCCTTCCCAAATTAGTTATTAAAACGGCGTCATCATAGGAGGTTAGCGTTTGTAGTGTTGTTTTTATCAACTGTTCTTGTTTGCCGCCTGCAGAATCTTTATGGCCGATTTAAAGGAACCGCCGAGAGTGTGTTTGAAATTTTACTTCCTGTTTGAAAAATCGGTAACAGAAGCTTACCAAATGCTTCAAATGGCTTTCAAGAAGGATGATATGAGCTGCATGCAAGTGTTTGAATGGTTTGGGAGCTTTAAACGTGACGAAGATCACTCATTTTCAAATCCTCAGTCCATATCAGCTGGCACGAGCTCTAACTGACCCATATCTGTTTTGAAATTTCGTCGATCGTGAAACAACGATCCTCGTTGATTTTTTGGCGGATTTTTTCAATATTTTCGTCGTTCTTAGGTGATCGAAGAGCACACAGAATGAGCATGATTACAACACTCATCTCACCACGTTTAAAAACTTGTGTTTGGTTCATAGCAACCTTCTTAAAGGTCTGTTGAAACATTTGACAAGCTTATATTCCTGATTTTTCGAACAGGAAGCAACATTTCAGACATATTCATTGTTCCTTTAAATCTGCCATAAAGATTTAGCAGGCAGCGAAGAACAGTTGAGAACAACACTAAGATCAAATGTTAACCTCTTATGACGCCGCTTGAACAACTGATTTGGGAAGGGGAAGGTTTCTACTAGGCCTACCTAGTGAGAAAACCTGCTACTATGGCTAGGAAGGGCCACCCACTTTTAATCCGCTTTTTTTTAAGTCCCGCCTCGTACCGTCAATGAATTATTAGAAGAAAATAATAAGAATTTTGAAAAAATCATGCATCAATTTGCAGTTAATTTTATAGTGCGCAAATCTTGCAGAACCATGCTTTAAAAACTGAACTCTATAAAAATTTTCTAAAATAAAAACATTTGAAAAGTAAATGCTCAAAAAATACAGGGTGTTTTGAAGACTAACAAATAATATAATCTCAAAATTTGCAATACAAGAATAGATTAGTGTCTACAAAATAAAAATTTTAAAATTATAACATGAGCATTTAGTTTTAACCTCGATGTAGTCATATGTACAAAAAATACTTTTGGGAAATGCATCAATCAATTCTTTATGTACCATGATTGAAGCCTTACCAAAAAATGAACACTACAATGATATGAAATGCTTAAATAGGTATGACAATTCTTTGATATGCTCCTACAAGTGATCTGTGGAAATAATGAGCAAAGGTAAATAATACTTAGATTAATAGAAGAGTAAATATATCAGATGCATTAAATGTATTAAAAAATCTGTATAATTTAATCAGTTTTGAGAAGTAACGGGATATTAGCTTCGTTCGCGGTAACAATCCTGAACTGATTCAGAATTACTAATTCATACTTTGAGCGCATGCCCGAATCATTATCAATTCTGAATTTTTACTGCGCGCGCAATCCCTATTATATCTCGGGTGTTTCAGGTATAGACAAGCGGTTCAAAACCAATAATTATTTTACCCCGAACGCAGGATAGAACCAATGGTTCAGTTCTTTTTGTTTCGCGAACGCTTTTTAACTACTGCGCCTGCGAAATCGTTACTGTTAGTAATAATTCGGTTCAGGATTCTTACCGCGAACAAAGCTATATGTTTTGATATATCTGTCATTTAGTTTCATGACTTGTCGATTTTATTCTTAAGTAATTATTTTGCATTTGTATATTGTTAACTGGTTTAATGTACCTAAGCTATTTTGTAATTGATGACTCTTGAACGAATATGAATTATTAAAATCACAAACATGAACAGAAAATAAATAAAAACAAGAAAAAGCCATGACCTAGGCCAAGCCTAAGTTAAGATGAATTTTGATGAGATTTCATAAAACAGAAATGAATACAACAGCGAATGTTCGCATGTAGGGCGAAGTGAATTAGTTTCAGCAACTCTGTGAGCTGCGAAGGTTTGTCCTCGGGCCACAGTTTTCACTAGTGACTACGGAGTGATAAATTCTGTTTTCGATGTCTGCGATGGAGGAGAACTAAACGAGACAGTTCGAGAAACAAAGGTTTTATGACCCCTTACACACTGACTATATGAAAATCAAAATAAAATTGCAGATTTGGGACAAATTTGGGAAGAGATTGGTCGTTTTTTATTAATAACTGCTTTTGAGAACCTTTTTATGAAATAATTTTGCAATTACTTTTGGTCTTCGAAATCCGATTCTATACTTAGTGAAGAATCAGTATACATTGTAGTCATAGCGTACATTGTCGACACAATGTCACAGATACGCACAGTGACGATAGAGCTGCTGCCTCAACTTTCTCTTTCCATATGAGCGGACCCTTCTTCCCTGCGTCTCCTTGCGGGCTCAACTTGCACCCGGCCTTAGAGAATTTCTTGTTTTCATTTATTTTACATTTTGATCACATTTGGAATTATTTTCCTATTTGTGTACAGTTATAGGACATGTTTTTAAATATTATGCCCTTCTGAATTTATCGGAATTTATACTAGAGGTAATTTTTTAATTACCTACTAGTCGCTCACTTTATATAAAACTCATTTTCTGATATATTTACACTGGTAGAATAATCAGCAACGCATTAGAAAAGCAATTTGAAAACCTACTTGTTATTTTTTAATCTATAATTTTATTGTCTAAGGGTCAGAATTTTTTATTAAAATTATTTTTTTTTCAATTATAGGTAAATTTCAAAGGTGTTATTAATAAAATTATTATTTAATAAAAGTAGTGAGCACTAAAAGTAATGATTTTTAATTTTTGTGGGTACTAATTACACTGTATAGTCTACGATATATATATATTTTCTTTAAAGCATTTCAACGTTTATATAATTTTTGTTTTTCTTTAGCACCCATAAAAATATTAAGGTCAGTCTACTTACTACGTCATTTATTAACATTGCTTCAATAAATTGACTATATTTTTCTTGTGTAATTTATCTTTTCCAGTTATTAAAGTTTAATTTAATTAATGAAATATTTGGTTTTATTTCCAAAGCATAGTAATTTCAACAAATACAATTTTATTGAAAATGTACAACCTTGAAAAA